CTCGCCATGCTCCTCGTCCTCCTCCTCCTTCTCCTCCGCCTCCTTCTACTCATCATCATTGTCATCATCCGCTTCCACCTCATCCTTGCAGTCATCTTCTTCTTCTTCTTCTCATTCATCCTCTTACTCCTCCACCTCCACCTCCTCCTCCACGTCACCCTCGCCGTCTTCCTCATCCCCCTCCTCCTCTTCTCCTTCTCCTCCTTCACTCCTCCTCCTCCTTCCTTCTACCCCCCATCCGTATCCTCCCACAGCAGCGCTCCAGGCATGGCGCTCGCGCCCGAGACCTTCTCACAGCCCGCTCTGGACACGCGCTCTCGCTTCGGCGCCAGTGCGCAGAGGCTGCTCGGGCATGGCCTGGCCTGGACCCCCGCCTCCCTTCAACCATTCCTCCTCTTCCTCTTACTCCAACCATCCCTCATCTTTTTCCACAACCATCCCTCCTCCTCCTCCTCCTCCTCCTCCTCCTCCTCCTCCTCCTCTCCCCTCCAACCATCCCGCCCCTTCCCCTTCCTCTTCCCAGCCCACTGGCCCTTGGTTTTCCCTCCAACCATCCCTCCTCTTCCTCCTCCCTCCTCTTCCCTCCTCCCCCGCGACCCCTCTCGTTTCCTGCGCCTCCGCGCCACGCTCTCGCTCGAGACGTCCCCGTCGCCTACTCTGGCCCGCCGCTGCCGCCCCAGGCGCCCGCACGCTTTGCCCAAGCGCAGGGCTCTCAAGCCGCCCAGACCCCGGCCCCGCTGGAGCACACTTCGACACGGGAGGCGCATCAGATGTGATCGAACAGGTCTGCTGGCCCTGACGGCGCCCCCCTCCACCAGAGCTGAGTCGTGAGGATGTCTCAGGCGGAACTGACCCATCCACCGTGCGCCTGGCATCTCGGAGCCCAGTTGCGAGGATGTATCAGGCGAAGCCTCGCGCACGGCCTGGATCCCTTAGACTGTTAGCAGATTGAGCCGTTGAGAAGACAAGATTTCAAGGATGGCTCAGGCGAAACGCTCGTGCACCAGTCCCTCGGCATGAGAGACCTGTCATCACCACAGAACCCCAGACAGCACAGCCGCTTCGAGGAAAACCTGCGCTGCGTCCGGCATTTGACCGACTCACCCTCGCAAGCCCGCAGGTGGACCATTTGCCAGCACCACACTGGCAACGCGTCCAAGCCGAACACGGCCGACGCGGAGAGGAGCCTGCCACCAGTCGCCAACTCGCGCGCGGACGCGCAAGTGGGGATGCATCGCGAGCGGGGCCAGCATGGGCAAACCACGCGAACTCTCTCCGACGCGAGCGATCGTGCGCGGCCGGGCGAGCTGAGCCCCCGACCCCCCCGAGCGACTCCACGAGCTGCCAGATCCGCAGGCGGTCAAAGAAGCGCCGGAGTGCACCAGCGCCGTCCGCCTCGCCTTGGCTGCTCCGTAGCCGGATGGTGACCACCGAGCCGCCGGTCCTCATCTGCCGCTTGCACAGATCAAAGTGTGGGCTCGATGGGAGGCCAGGATAATGGACCTCCGTGACCTGGGGATGGCCCTCCAGGAACGCGGCGACCTTCGCTGCGTTGGAGCACTGCCTCTCCATGCGCACGGCCAGGGTCTTCATGCCTCGCAAGGCCAGATACGCGTCGAACGGATTTGCGATGCCTCCTATGGCTCCGTTCAGAAATTTAAGCTTGCTGCCAAGAGCCTCATCATTGGTCACAAGCGCACCACCGGTCATGTCAGAGTGACCACCGATGAACTTACTGCTGGATATCATTACGACGTCGGCACCGAGCTTCAGCGGTTGCTGGTTCCAGGCCGTGGCGAAGGTGTTATCCACGCAGAGCAAGATCTTCTCAACTTGGGCACTGTCAGGACCTCTGGTTTGCACGTCGTGCGCCAGCTTTCGAATGTCTACCAGCCCCAGCAGCGGATTGGTGGGCGACTCTGCCCAAATCATTCGAGTGTTGGGTCGGATGGCCTTGCGGACGCTCTCTGTGTCGTTCAGATCCAAGTATGTGAACTCGAGGCCCATGGTGGAGCGGCGGACCTTCTCAAATAGCCGGAACGTGCCGCCGTACACGCCGTTCATAACAATCACGTGGGAGCCGTGCTCCATCAGCTCCAGGGCGAGGGACGTCGCGGCCATGCCCGACGCGGTCGCCACGCAGGAGGAGCCCCCCTCGAGGGCCGCCAGGGCGGTCTCGTAGGCGTGCCTGGTCGGGTTCGCGCACCTCGAGTAGCCGAAGGACCCCCCCTCCTCCAGGCTCGGCCGCACGAAGCTCGTCGCCGTCGTGATGGGCGGGAAGACCGCGCCGTGGCCAGGGTCGTGCTGCTCCCCCCCGTGGATCGCCAGCGTCTCGATCTTGCAGCTCGCCTGCGGCGGCCGAGACCTCGCCGCGGCGGCGCGCCGCCCGGCGCTCTCCAGCGCCTCGGCGCCGCGCTTCATCAGCCTGCCCAGCGCTGGCCCAGCGCTGCGCCTCATCCACCCTCCTCTGAGACGATTCCGAGGCTCGAGCCAGGGCAGGAGGCGGAGGGGGGCCAGAGGAATGAAGCACCGCAGGAGCACACGAAACTTTCGGAGCTCCACTCGGACTTCTCGGCTCGGCGCTGAGGCCACCGCCCTGGCGCGCCGAGCGCGCCAGGGGCGTCGCCGGAGGCGCCGCCATGGGGGGGCGCGCGCCGATCGAAGAAATCAGCGCGGAGCCCCGGCAGTTCATGCTCACGCAATTTCTTGTTCCTCGGGGAGGGGCGCGGGGCGCTTGCTGGGCATCCGGCCGGCGACCTTCCCGACGGCCGGCCCGAGCTTTCGTTCGATGGCCGAGGGCCTGGCGCTCTGACTCGAATGGCCCCTCCTCTCCTCCCAGGGGGCGGGGAGAGAGGGACGCGAGGACCGACCACAACGATGTTGTAAACGCGCTTGCGTTTAGAACGAAAAACAAAACGAATCCGAACGATACGGGTTCAGAACGAAAACGAAAACGAAACGATGCCGACATTCCACGAGACAACAAAACGAAACACGAAACGAACTCCGCAGACCTCGTTGGAAACAAACGGAAAACGAAACGATGGCATCGGAAGATGGCTGAAAACGAAACGATGGCACCGAAACGGTGAACAGCTGGCAGTGAAAATGGACGCGGAACGGCGGCGCCCGGGGCTCGTGCGAAACCAACAGGACTTCCCGCTCGCCCGTCGCCCACGCTCGCTCCCCCCCCCCCCATTCCACGCCGCAGTGCTTTCGAAGGCCCCCTCCTTCGTATCACTTGCATCGCTATGCTCGCAACTGCACGTGGTCGGGTTCTTCGCCAGGATGACTTCTTTTTGTTACTCCATTCCACCGCCCTTCCTTCTCAAGACAACTCGCATGCGAATCGTTTTTGGCTCCATCCGGGTAACTGTTGCAAGCTTTTGAGACGACCGTGCGAAGCGCTAAAGCGAGAGCCACATATTGAAAAGGAGCCGCCTACCATCTGCTTAGTTGTTGAAAGCTTACAAAACAAGCGTGCGTTGCGCTGTGGCTAGAACCGAATGTTGAAACATATGCGCCCTTCATACGAGCAAATGTTGAAAAAGCCTAAGTTTCAGGAGCAGAAATTATGAGGAAGCCTAAAGCCTGACGCCAGACCGCCTTGCCGATACGTCGGGCTGTCCGCCGAGAAGGGGGCCCTCAAAAAGAAACCGGGGCTCCCACACAAGGTGGACCCGACTCCGCGCCCAGAATTCGGAAGGACGGCCCAGCCCACTGCCTGCCTGGCGTCGCAAGAGCGTCTACGCATGCGTATCCTCATTCCTTTTTCTTCCTCTCGCGGCCGGTATTCCTCCTGCTTTCCCCGCAGGCGTAATTCGCTTCGCTGTGTCCCTAGTTTGCCTGCCGTGGCGGACCGTGCCCACTGCCGCTGGCCAGCCAAAACTCGCCGGCCCAACGAGCCAGAGGCGTGCTAAGATCTCCGGTAACTGGTAAACAGTATTTCTAATTCGCGCGCGCGCGGGGCGGCCCCTGGGGGTCCCTGGATCAAAAGTACCCCGGGAGGAGCCCGGGACACGCCCGGGACACGCCCGAGACACGCCCGGGACACTCCCCCAGATCCTCCAGGATCGCCCCAAGAGGGCCCCAAGAGGCCCCCAACACAATCCAAGAGAGGTCCGAGACGCCCGAAGATCGCTCCACGGCGCCCAAGATGGCCTCCAGACGGCCCAAGACGTCTCCAAGATGACCCAACAAGCCTCCAAGATGCCCCAAGAGACCTCCAGGAGCACTCCCAAGAGGGCCCCAAGAGGCAAAAATCAATGCTTTTTCTTAGGTTTTGGACAGATTTGGGCGTTTCAACCTTTTCGGTTCCCCGACGCCCCTAAACGGCTCAAGAGGCCTCCAAGATCGCCCCAAGAGGGCCCAAGAGGCCCTCAAAAGGGCCCCAAGACGGCCCAAGACGGCTCCAAGACGGCCCCAGAGGCCTCCAAGACGGCCCAAGAGGGCCCCAAGAACGCCCCCAACACGGTCCAAGAGAGGTCCGAGACGCCCGAAGATCGCTCCACGACGCCCAAGATGGCCTCCGGACGGCCCAAGACGTCTCCAAGATGGCCCAAGAAGCCTCCAAGATGCCCCAAGAGGCCTCCAAGAGAACTCCCAAGAGGGCCCCAAGAGGCAAAAACCTGTGTTTTTCCTTTGGTGTTGGACAGATTTGGGCGTTTCAACCTTTTCGGTTCCCCGACGCCCCTAAACGGCTCAAGAGGCCTCCAAGATCGCCCCAAGAGGGCCCAAGAGGCCCCCAAGAGGGCCCCAAGACGGCCCAAGACGGCTCCAAGACGGCCCCAGAGGCCTCCAGGACGGCCCAAGAGGGCCCCAAGAACGCCCCCAACACTACACAGCTCCCGACGCCGCAGCTCCACACTGCAAACGACCACTCGGACAGGCGACCACGGTGCGACATTATGGGCCGGCGGAATGAGCGAAGCGATTAAATATAAGCACTATCCCGAGATGCTCTGGCTCATACTCCTGCAGATATCCCGCCCCTTCGTGGTCCGAGAGCTCCACCGTCAGGTCACCGAAGTTCTCAGGCGTGGCCACCCGTACCTAGCACGCAGACAACGGCAGGAACAGCCGCGGACCAATCACGTGTCTATACCGATTCCGTATACAACGGCGACCACAACAACGACGGCGACACAAATAATCAAGAGAGCAGCAGCAGGAGTAACAGTCGCCACAGTACCTGCAACAGCGCTGTGCAGAGTGCAAAAGTGGGGAGTGGAAGGAGTGAGGAATAGGCGGTCCGAGGGAGGAGGAGAAGGAAGAGGTAGAAACAGAGCAGGTGCGAGGAGGGAGGGGTGAGCGGAGCCGAAGAGGAGACAGGAGTAGGAAGAGAAGCAAAATGAGGAAGAGCAGCAAGAGGCAGAGGATGAGAGCGAGAACGAGGAAGAGAAGAACAAGGACGAAAAGAGCCACACATCCTGCAGCCAGCACGCAAGACGGTTAGAGGCTCCTGCTGGCTGATTGCCGCAGCCCGTGCTGACGGTTACCCTGCTCCCCGTGCCCACTGGTGGTCCGCCGCCCCGCCCTTGCGGGGACACCAGGCTGCGCGGAGAAGGTTCCGGCCGCTGAGCAGCTCACATCCCATGAGAGCAGGTCGGCAATAAGCGGCAATTGGAATAATCTCTTGAATGTACGCAATATTACTGTCATCGACTATTCCCGCGATGCTCACTCGCGTGATCCTCGTGAATGGTGCGTCGACAAGGCTTGAGGGTCCACAAGCCGTGTGAAATGTGTGCCGAAATGGACGCGGTGGTGTGCCATACAGGCTCCCCCCCAAGGCCGCAGGTGGAGCTTCCTGTGGGGCCGCGATTCGTGTGCTGAGTGTCGACATGGGGACCGGTGGTGCCGTACATACGGGCGCCTTCATGTGGCCCATTGTTTGGGACTCTCCATGGGGCACGCAACGTGAGAGGAAGTGCGCTGGAAGTGCGGGTGGTGCCGCGTCCTCACTTGGACCACAGGCGGAACTGCCTGTGAGGCCGCGAAGCGTGCGAGCGGTGTGCCGAAACAGGGGGGGGGGGCCGAAACTGGAACCGTCTGTGGAGCTCCCTGTGGGGCCACGGCGCGTGAGAGAGGCGAGCCGGAGTGAGAACGGTGGTGTCATACCTGCGCCCTCACTTGAGCGCAGTCGGGACTCTACATGGAGCAACGAGCTTGTTATGGACGTGTGGGAATGATGCGGTGGTGCCACGCGTGCGACCTCCCTGGGGCCGTATGTGGATCTCCCTCTGTGGCCAAGGAGCGTGTGAAGGGCGTGTCGGAGTGAGCGAACGGAGTGCAGCGGGAGGACGAGGAGGCGGAGGCGGGGGACGAGATGAGGAGAAAAAGGTGGGGCGCGGCGCTGCTGATTCAACGCGAGGTCCCAACAACCATGGTGGGAACACATATCCAGGCGAAGGACCAAACCCTGAACAAATTCATGCGACGTAACTTTGATGCTGTCAATCCTTCTGCCAGTCTGCGGAAGCCGCGTCATCCTCGTGAGCGGCGTGACGAACTGGGGCCACAAACTGCATGAGGAGCCGAGAGCGATGCTGCAATACGGACGCTCTCACCAAGGCCGTAGGTGGGGAGCTCCGTGTGAAAACATGAAACGTACAAGGTGTGTGCCGAAATGGGGGCGGTGGTGCCATGCAGGCGCCCTCACTTGGGCCGTAGGTGGAGCTGACTGTGGGGCCACGACACGTATGAATGGTGTGCCGAAATGGAGGCAGTGGTTCCATACGGGCGCCCTCGCTTGGGCCGTAAGCGGGATCCATATAGCAAAAACGGCACGGGGATGGACACCGAAACGCTGCTGAAACCTGCTGAAACAATGCGGGCGGGGCTCGACTCATTAAGTGGCATGCGCCTGTCAATGTTGCGGAGCACTATCGCGCACTCGCTGCGCGGAAGGCGACAGCAAAAGACCACCCATGTCTGCGGCCCAACAAAGGATCAAGTTGGACGCGCGCCCGGGCATCAAGTTGAATCCGTCTCTCGATGTTGCCACCGGGCGCGCGAACGTATGGAAGATATCTCGATAGAGCCTGGCCATGATGCACACTTGCGCACGTTGCCAACATTGAAAGGTGATCCTTATGTGGGTGCCGTCAATCGCTCATCATTCAATGTGATCGTACTGTACATTGTGATGCAACTTTTCTCCCGGATGTGTACGGGCGCCCTCGCTTGAGCTGTGCAGGTGGGGCTCATTCTGGGGCCACGAAACTTGCAAGGGTATACCAAAATGGGGGCGGCGGGGACTGCAGGTGGGGCTCCTTCTGGGGCCGCGACGCGCGTGCCGAAATGATTCGACGTGTGCATGAGAAGAGCAGCGGCATGATGAAGATGTGGGGGGAGGAGGGTGCGACGATGAAGAGGAGGAGGAGAAGGAGGAGGAGGAGAAGGGGGACGAGAGGAAGGAAACGTATAAGGAGGATTCAGGAGGAGGAGGAGGCGGAGGAGGAGGAGGGCGTGGGGCGCGGCACAGCTGATTCAACACGA